GGGAGGAAAGCTTTCAACAAACATTCTTCTCTTAGATGCCAAGCCATCATTATTATTTTCACTGTAGATCTGCCACATTGTATTTTATAGATGTGGATCTGCTATTATATTTTACGTAGGATAGATAGATTAACCTTCAGCTTTACATCATTTTTAATTGTAAAGTGTTGTCCACATTGAATAATAAAGCAAAGGGGGGTTAATCTCTCTTTTAAAAGTGATAAATAAGCTGTGCTTTCTGTCCCACTAATGAACATCATAATGAACATCTTAATATAGAAACACAATCTTCTTTATAAGACAGTTTGAGGACAGAGATATATGGTCATACTGGACTCTCACAGAAGTTGCAGCAGAATCATAAAATGAAAGTATTATATCATTTATTCTGCTTTTATTCTGTTGCGGCAGCACGTGACAGTTAAGAATTACTTTGTATAAAATCAACTCATTTTGAGTTTTTAAATCCAGTTTCATGCTAGCTCATGTATCCTTTGATGGATCATTCATTGCTTATGTCCAACAAATATGGGTAATTTACTTTTTGGCCTTTTGCATTTTTTCAAGTTTCCCGCCTTTTTAGTTACTTATAGAAGTGGAAAGGTAATGCACCGAGAAGTTATGTGAGAATTTTATCCCACAATTCCCTGCAGTAACAGACCATCCTTATCGGCAACACGTCTTAATTATGTCAATGTCCACTCAAAATGAATCACCTTATTCAATTATTTTAATCTGACACTTTTAGAGAGGCACTTCATCTTACGTTAGTGTTTATTCAGTTAAATGATTAATCTTGAATTGTATGATTAGGGTTGCCCCAAAGTGCATTAGAATTGTGGTCATCTTTCAAATGTGCCAATCAAACATTAACCAGCATAATCTGGATTATAGCCTCCCATGGGCACATCAACTCAAATAATTGACAGTGAAATCTTCAGAAAAAGTTAAATAATTTGTAAAAGGCAAAAAAAAAAAAAAAAAAGGAAGACAACCTGTGAAACCAAGTGCACTGTTGCCAGGTTTGTAAATATTGGGAAAAGTGGTATTTTAACATCATGCCGCAGGTGTCACATGTGATAAAATGTTTAAAGTTCTGAATAATTGGAGGAAAAGAAAAAAAGAATGTGAACAATAGCATTATGAAAATGTTTCAAGTGTTCTGAATCATTTGCATCATACAGTTGGCGTGTTTCATTATGTACCAATCAGTCAAGGTTCTTTTATATTTCAGTAATATATGGGAAATTGTAAATTGTTTACTTTATAGCATCAGAATAAGAAATGATATTGTTCTGAAAATAAAACTCGAGGAAATGTTCCCCTGTCACAATTAGGAAAGTCCACTGAGAGCTTTGGATTTCTGTCAACAGAGGATCCTCCTGTTCCAAAATTACCATTTGGCCAAATCTGAGGGCACCTTCATGTACAAAGAACAGGAAGTTTCTATTCTTTAGCCTCAGGACTACACAGAGGTCAGGTTCCAGGTTCATTTATGAAATGATGGGAATGAAGGGAGCTGTATTCCAACACCACCTAGAGGATGACAAATTAACCATCCTGGTATATATTGTTGCACATTTTTACATGTTCCTCACTTCCCTCCCATGGGAATTTTAGAAATTTCAGGGGCAGCTCTACTGCTGAGTGTGCAGTAGAACTCTGTACCATGTGCCCAGAAGAGCAATGTCCTATTCTTTGAATTTTGGGCAGCAAAAGACACAGCCAAAATCAAAACTCCTCCCATTTCACAACTATAAGATATGAGGAAGACTCTTATATTAGTTGCCGTCAGGATTCTACTATCACAATGAACTTTGGGGCCCCCAAATGCTGACTATCATTGACTTGTGGCCTCTGCCCTCATTGTATGTCTCTTATTTTATCATATAGCTGTTTCTTTCCAATCAACCAAATACCACCATATATATATTAGCATACTCCCTTGTTTGTTGTACATGCTGTCATATTATCTACACCAGGGCTTTCCAAACTTTTCATGTTGGTGACACACTTTTTAGACATGTATCATTTTGTGACACAGTAATTCAGTTTTACTAGAGGTTAAATTAACCCCTTTCCAGCCCCAGGAGGAGTGTGGGAAGCGTTTGTGTGACACACCTACACACTGCAGCTGACACACTAATGTGTCGCGACACAAAGTTTGGAAAGCTCAGGTCTACACCATGATGGCTTTCAACCTAGCAATGGGATCCCAAAGGTAACTGTTCTGAGAGCCTTTTCCCCCCAAGGGCACAGAACTGTACATAGTTACAGCAGCAGGTGATCGCATTATTACTGTTTCTTGCACTTATGGCTGAACCCTGAAAAGTAGAGTTGATAAGTTTTACATTTTACATGTCAAAAGATTGACACCAAAGCTCTACTTCAGACATATTTGAAAAGCCAAGAAAGCTGATGCTAAAGATTAGTATGAATTACTTCCAGGGTTAATAAGTAACCCTGCAAAACAAAACACAATTATTTAAATATAGAATCTTGAAACTCTAGGACTGAACAATCATTTCCATGTTGCCTTTCTTGGACTGGAGCGGTTCTTCTGCTGGCACTGTGAAGGCCTTCTTGTCTACTTTTGACAGGAGTTGATATCTAATTTCACAGATGCATCCAAGCGCACGTAGGAAGAAGCTGATTTGCCAAGGAGTCATTGGACAAAAGATGCTTTACAGCAGCAGGAGAACATTCAGAACCATCAAACAGAATCCTCAGACATGCAAAAGAACCCTTGTTAAGCCATGTTTTGCTTTCTTCCTGCAGCTGTCGGGGCTTTCCAAATGTAAGAATGACTGAAACTCTACCCTACCTATGAATAAATGGTACATGGTGCATACTGCATTGGTTTGATTCCACGCATCCCAAAAGAATATTTTGCACTGGAGTTAAAGCAAGCAGATCATTCTCTGTGAATGCATGAATTTTCTGCATCATTTGTTATCGTTTAACATGCAGCTACTATTCCACTCGTGATTATTTTTATATTTCGTTTGCAGCAGATGTGATTAATTTACTGTGGGTAATAACTGTCCAAAGCATCTGATCAAAAACATTTAACAAGTACAACAAAAATCACCCAAACAATGAATGTGGTTAGGCACATAACAATATGATACCTAATAAGGCAGCCAAGTTGTAAATGAACCATCCACTTATAGCCATATATAACAGGAAACAGTGCTCTGAAGTATCCTGTTCCATTTTTATAAATCAGTAGGAGGGGCCAGTTTTAGCGTCTTGTTTAATTTGGCCTTCTGAATGGTTATACTCTGGATGGTTATTCATTGTTATCTAACATACTTCTTAGTCATTTGCCTGCTTCTTTCCACCCATTGAAATGCTTTCACAAAATAAGGATAATTTCAAGGCTAACCAATGAAGAGGGAGATAGAACTGCATATATAATTCCTACATTAATACTAAAACATTATTTTAGAGCTGCCTTAATTATCTGTAAATGTTGGATATAATGGAATCCTTCCATATTTCTAGTAAAAATGTTGTAAAAGTTATATGACCATTGTGTTTAATATAGGTTTGTTTGAATCCTCAGGAGAGAGAATAAGCAATAGCTATACTAGATCATTATGCTGACATTGCAAGGAATTTTTTTTGGAAGCTTACAATGATGCAATTAGTTTAGAAAGACATCAGGAGCAACTGAAAGTACAAGATCTCATTCTAATTTTAGGTGTGTTTTGTTATGATCATAGAACAGAAAGCATAGAAACTTTATTCGCCTTAGCCAATGGCCATAGCAACAAAAACCATTACAATATACACAGAAAAAAGGAAATTTAGTATAAAAGCACAGTTTAGGGTCCTGAATCAACAGTCAGATAGTGGCCCTTATTCTGATTGCCCCTGCTAAGAACCTAGCAACCTTTGCTGTTATCTGCTCTGTTTGGTCTGCCAGGAGAAAAGACACTGTGGCAGTGGTTGTGTGCCCTGGGATGGTCAGGACGAGTGGGATGATTCTCTCATTCCTCAGGTCTTTGTAGAGAGTGCAAGACAGGAGGACATGTGCCACTGTTTCAGTGCTACCGTCTCCACAGGGACAAAGGCGTTTCTCATGCAGGATCTTTTGGAATTGGCCCTCAAGTACAGCAGATGGCAAAACGTTCAGTCTTGCGAGTGTGAAAGCTCATCTGTATTTTGGGCTAGCTAGTTTGTGTAGGTATGGAGCCAGAGAATCAAAATATGAAGATGGAAATTGATCATACCATGGGCAGAATTTCCTTATAGTGGCCAGGTTGTTCTGATGCTCACTATCTTTTAGACGTTGACAAATTCTACATTTTGCTTTGGTATGGCCTGTAGTGAGTAGGTGTTATGGGGAAAGGCCACTAGAGTGGAGTTTTTGATAAACGGTTTCAGGCCAGGCACTTTTGTGGTAGTCTTGAAGAAGAAGAGTTTGGATTTGATATCCTGCTTTATCACTACCTGAAGGAGTCTCAAAGCGGCTAACATTCTCCTTTCCCTTCCTCCCCCACAACAAACACTCTGTGAGGTGAGTGGGGCTGAGAGACTTCAAAGAAGTGTGACTGGCCCAAGGTCACCCAGCAGCTGCATGTGGAGGAGCGGAGACATGAACCCGGTTGCCCAGATTACGAATCTACCACTCTTAACCACTACACCACACTGGCTCTCTACTAGGGATAATAAACCGGGGGGATTTGAGTTTAGGCTGAGCCAGAAGTTAAAAGTTCTTTGCCAAATCCATACTTCTACTGAGGGGAGACTTGCCTCCAGTTGCAATGATGCATTTGGGATGCAGGGTGGTACAGAAAAAATCTGCCTTAAGAATTTTGATTGAACAGCTTCCAAAGTGCCAAGGTGGTTACCAGTCCAAATCTGAGCTCCATATAATAGCTGTGCTAGAGGTTTAGCTTGGAAGACTTCTAGTACTGAGGGTATGTGAATTGTACAGTTGGGTGGGACCACTAGGATCATCTAGTCCAACCCTCTGCAATGTAGAAATATTTTGCCCTATGTGGGGCTTGAACCCATGACCCTGAAATTAAGAGTCTTTTGCTCTACCAGCTGAACTATTCTAGAAACAGCTTTTAACAGTCACGTGCATTGAGAAGGTGTTGCACAACTGGGATATGGGAATTTTGTTTTGTTGACATTGTCTTGTTTTGCTTTGCTTTCCCCCAAAGCCACAGTTTAAAGTACAAAAGGTTTCCAATGACAGGAAGCCAAAACAGGCTGTGTTAGTTAGTGCAAGAAATGCTATGTCAAATGCCTTGTCAAAAAAGACATTTCCTAAGGGATGTGAGGATAGATGCCCTGTCCTGAATGTCACTTCATATTAACATATGATAGATGCAGAGTTTTGAAATCTGCGTAATTGGAAAATATTTGTCTTTTGCACCCTAAAGGATTTTGCTGGAAGCTGAAAGTTTATTTCTGCCTCCAGTCACCTTCAGGAAATAATATCTGGAGGGAAGTAAGAAACTTGCAACTCAGAAAAGACCTTCTATTGATGCAGCCTAGAATAGCTTTAGGGTTTTTTTTGCTGCTGCATCACATTGTTGACTCATGTTCAGCTTGTGGACTAGATCCTTTTCACATGCACTCCTTGTAAGCCAAGTATCCCCCATCTTATATTTGTGAAATTGATTTTGTTAGTTGGGGCCTAGTTCTCCAGTCATGCATTGATCTCAATGGAGTGGTTGCATTATGCTGAGTTAAATATTCCACGGCTTTAAGAGGTATTCCAATGAATAGTCAAATATATTACTAAATTTTGTCATAATATACTAAAAAAGGTAAAGGGAACCCTGACCATTAGGTCCAGTCGTGACCGACTCTGGGGTTGCGGCGCTCATCTCGCTTTATCGGCCGAGGGAGCCGGCGTACAGCTTCCGGGTCATGTGGCCAGCATGACTAAGCAGCTTCTGGCAAACCAGAGCAACGCACAGAAACGCCGTTTAGCTTCCCGCCAGAGTGGTACCTATTTATCTACTTGCACTTTGACGTGTTTTTGAACTGCTAGGTTGGCAGGAGCAGGGACTGAGCAACGGGAACTCACCCTGTCGTGGGGATTCGAACCACCGACCTTCTGATCGGCAAGTCCTAGGCTCTGTGGTTTAACCCACAGTGCCACCCATTTCCCTCATAATATATTACATGATGTATACAGAACATGTTTAAAATAGCATGCTTAGTACAGGACACAACTCTTCCCCCCCTCCCCCCCCTCATATGAATGCAGAGCATGGGGAGGGGGTTAACTATTTCCCCCTGTAGTGTTTTCCAGCTGAAAACCATCATGAAAGCGGCTGTTTGCCTCTGAATATGCTACTTTTGCAAATAGCCATCTTGGGGCAAATAATAGCTCTGAAGGTAATTTTCAGCAGGACAGAACTGTGAGGTGGGATGTTCATTTCCTTCTCCCAAGTCACAGTATTGAGCCTTGGTGGGGGTGGGCATGATGATGCTTCTTCATTCTTTTAAAAGGGGGCTCGTCTAATCCTAAAACACACTATTTTAAACACACCGTTCATGTAACATGCAGTTTGGCGCCATAACTCTGCATGCCATTATTACTGTGGGAGTCTGCTTTAGAATTGCTACCCCATACTAAAGGGGGTTTATTTAGCACTGCTAGTCAGCCTCTTTGGACTCTTCCTGTTCATTATCACTTTTGCTTCTGTGTTACAGTTGAGTGTCCTCCGATGCTTGTTGGAAAAAGAATATTTTCATTTTCCAATAAATCTCTTGCACATTGTTTTTCCAACTGCCAAGTTGTCAACTTCCTCTTTCTTTCTTTCTTTCTTTCTTTTTCTTTCTTTTCTTTTCTTTTTAAAAATCTAATTAAACCATTTATCAAACTCTCCCCCCCAAACGGATAGAGTGACAAATTAGACCTCTCTTCCACCAACCTCTGATAGATGGGAAGATAAAGATGTGGAGGGTGTTGTTTTAGCTGGAAGCTCTTGACTATATCATTTGTTGGGCACTGGGCCAAGATACCCTAAGAGATAATGATGGATCCAGAAAATGTACACTGCGTAAGACCCGACAGCTAGGAATCTGTCCTGATTAGCAAAGTCTCTCTGACTTCACCTTGAAAAATTATTGTCATTTGCATTCTGACATTTTCATCTAACATTTTTAACTAAATAAAAATGCAAAGGCTGGTTTTGCCAGCACAGTGACGCTGCTAACCATTTATCCATCCATCTCTCTCTCTCTCTCTCTCTCTCTCTCTCTCTCTCTCTCTCTCTTATTAGGGCTGATCCAAAACATCATAAAGTTTGAAATCTCAGTTAAAATATGGCAGATACACACTTCTGCCACGAAACCTTCCCACAACATTTCCCCCCAAAAATCCCCGGCAACACTTCCCACCTGTGACTCTCTAGACTGGCTGCCTCATATTTTGTGATTCGCCAGAAGCAGCCAGAAGGAAGAGTAGCCACAATACACCTGACCTCTCAACAGCAGCATCACTGCCACTTACTGGCAGGGACTGACACACTGATTTTTCTGCTCTCTCTCATGACACCACTGCTAAGAGGCCAGGTGTGCATTGCCAGCCTTCCTCAGTAGCTGCTCCTATAACCAGAGAGCCTTGCTTGATTGTACTGAAAAAGCCTGGAACAGGGCTGAAAACCTGTAGCTCTCTAGATGTTTCTGGACATAACTCCTATCATTCTAGACTATTGGCCATGTTGGTTGGGGCTGATGGGGACTGCAGTTCAATAACATCCATTTTCTGTTCTATGAGCTAGAGATGGCTTAGTATTATACTAAAGCAGTGATTCCCAAACTCTGGCCTGCAGAGCTTCAGTGGTCCACAAGCTTCATTCAGGTGGTCCATGGATTTGTGGTTAAAGATGGGAGATGGCACATCTATCACATGAAATATTCATAGTGATTTTTAATTGTATTTTTGTTGCTTCTTTATTTTATTGTATTATAGTTTGAATTCTGTGGAAATACAATGTGCAAGAAATAAAGAAGCAACAAAAATACAATTAAAAATCACTATGAATATTTCATGTGATAGATTTTCATGATAGATTTTTCATGTGATGTGATTTTTAACTGTATTTTTATTGTTTCTTTTATTTCTTAAGTTGCATTTTATTGTATTCTAGTTTGAATTATATGGAAATACAATTTAAAATACAATGTGCAAGAAATGAAAGAAACAATAAAAATACAGTTAAAAATCATTCAGCATTCAGCAGAGCACGTTATAATTGTTCCAACAGGCAGAAAAATCATTAAGCGGTCCACCAAAACACTCAGCAATTTTCAAGTTGTCCATGGAAAGCGAATTTTAGGAACTACTAAATGTCTTGGACTTTTCTGAATCTTGTGGTGCATTTCTTGGCTTAAACAATGTACCAAAATGAGTTAACAAATGCATATTTTAGCACAGAATACATTTGGAAATGCATATTTTGAGAGAAAAATATGTTTAGAAATGCAACGTTTGATAAAATTGCCAAAAGGAGGGATGTTGATATCAATAGGCAGGGAGTCCCAAGATGTACAAAAGATAAATTTATTACGAGTTCAGAACGGGCATTATTTGCCAGTTCTGCAATGCATTCCATGATGCAGAAATGGGACAGAATGTGTTTATGAATGAAAACATGTGAAAGATAGAAGGGGAAAAGACTGATCTGTCCAGCCATACCCATTGATTCCCCTTCACCTCTTGGCTGGTTGATCTCTAAGGGCAGCAGTTTTCAAATCTGTTTTCACTAGATGGCATTGCAAGGAATAGTTACATTGCTTACTTTATTAGGTTTAGTTGGGACAAGGAGCACTTGACATTTAGGATTCTCTCCTCTCTCTCTCTCTTTCTTTTTTTGAGAAATGCTAGCTTTCTGATCCTGAAAAATATTATTTTATTCAACCACCGCAGTAAGTCATGGATCAGGAAGGATCATGAAACCAAAGGAACCAAACTGTTATATGTGGCAGGGTTTCACAGGGGCTGCTGGAATTCAGTCTTGCTGCTCTTCCACTTGGCTCTTTGCTTGACTCTTTCAGCAGCATACAGGAAAGTGCATGCCATCAAAACTCAGCAACACGAGCTGGGAAAATGATCTCTTTCACCTGTAGAAACCCCAATCAAAATGATAAATGGCAGCTTAAATAGAAGCTTACTAAGAATCATCCCTGTGCCGTTTCATTTTCTTGCCAATGACGCAATGCTAGATGGAAAAGCACAAGTCTTGCCCTTCCTTCCAAATCAGTTTAACTAACCATTTTTATTTCTATTGGTCCTTTTTGTTCCAGACTTTTACTCTGCTTTGCATGAAAATGACGGTTCTTTCTCTCCCTTGGCAGTTCAGAGAAATTAAACCTAATGCCCAAGTCCCAAACTGCTAAAAACAATATGGCAAATGTTGTTACAGTGGTACTTCGGGTTACATACGCTTCAGGTTACAGACTCCGCTAACCCAGAAATATTACCTCAGGTTAAGAACTTTGCTTCAGGATGAGAACAGAAATCGTGCTCCGGCGGCACAGTGTTAGCAGGAGGCCCCATTAGCTAAAGTGGTGCTTCAGGTTAAGAACAGTTTCAGGTTAAGAACGGACCTCTGGAATGAATTAAGTACTTAACCCGAGGTACCACTGTATTTATTTGGCTGCATGCATTGCCTTCCCATATGACATTTTGGTTTTTTTATTAACCGACCAATCAAATCAAATCAAATCAAATCACATCACATAAATTCCGAATTACAAAGCCGAATTTTAAATTTTTGTTGAGGGGACCCATATTTCAAGTTTTGAAGGGGGATTCCGATCATCTTCTTGCTACTGCGTTCATATCCAAATCAGTCCAAATAAAGTTCATAATTCTATCCAGTCTTATCTTGCTGTTTCCACATCTCATCTTATTTGTACATTTTTTCTTTTTCTTTATGATCTCTTCTGATAATCTCCTTAAGCAGATAAACACCAATTATATCCTGTGTGGATTTTTCCGTTCGACCAATCCTCATATTGTGATGGTTTCCATATATCATCACTTTCATAAATAACATCGCTCTTTCCATCATTAATCTCAGGATCTGTCGTTTTTGAGTCCCACTGAGGAGTCTCACCCACAGTATAAAAACAGCTCTTTTCCTCCTCCCAGACTCAAGTCCTCCGACAGAGCTTACCAATATGGCGACGGTATTTTTAACTGCGTCATTCCAGAGCTCTTAAACTTTCCACGCTCTTCTTAAAACATGCTTTGGTTAGAAAGATTATCTCCACACAGACGTAAATCCACAGCTTAAGTCATTAAAGTGGCATTTCTGACTTGTGAGGGGGGGGTCTTGTTTTATCACATAGAGGAAAGAAAGAAAGGTTTTTTTCCCCTCCTCCATCAGTCCCTTTGCCATACCGAGTCTTAGCTGTCTTCTCATGATTGATTCTTATTCTTCCGACTCGTCTTGCATATCAGAGAACTCTTCAGTTAGCAGTCTTTACTCCCCCTCCTTCCTTGAAATATGTGCATTCGCTTCTTCCTAATTGTTCCTTTTGAAGTTCTTGCAGCTAGCGGCGCGGATCAGGGACGGCGTCCAGGAGCACCGAGATCCACAGGGGGGCATTCTGCCTAGTGCCCCCATCCCCTCAAATTCGGGGGTGGTATAGGGCACAGCAGGCATGGGCAGCCCCCCCCCATAATCCTGGGGGGGGGGTAGGGAGGCTATTTACTCCCATCACAGCCTCCTAATTACCCCCTGTGGGTCGGAGAGATGTTATTGTCAGCCATCATCCGATGCGCCCCTAGTGGCCCCTCAAAATGTGACATTTTGTTGTTGCTTTTAATAGACTTGTGAGCCCCTCCTTACAAGCCCGATGCAGTGGAAAGGTGACATAGAAATGATTTAAATAAATACATAAAATAGAGCAGGAGTCACTATAGTTTACATTGCAGTTTCTGGTGATTTGCCATTCAAATACACCAATAACAAACCTTCAGGCTTTGGGGTCTTTAAGAAAAGAAAGTTTTAATTATTTCCTCTCACGAGTAATAATGCCAGCGATTTGAATAGGAGGAAGGCTGAGATTTGTTTATGTTGGCTATACCTTACTCTTCATCCACCTGCCAGTCTTGTTACAGTATCAAGTCTGCTTTACTGTTCCAAACAAAGCAGGAGACAAGTTGTTTCTTTGGTGGTTACAGCATATGGAGATCTTTTTGTGAATTGCTATTTTCTTTGGTCACCAAAGGCTAACATCGCTTTGCATTTTCATTAAGTGAGGGATATCAAAAGCCCCAAAATAAGCAAGGTGAAATGTTGCAGAGCAACAGAGGCTTCTTTAGGAGAGGATAATTTGAAAATAAAATCAGAATGTAATAGCTCCACAGGCAAGAGAGGGGTGGTGGTGGTGGAATCAAGCTGGTTTGTTTTTCAAAAACGTTTTTTAAAATAATCCTTCCTCCTCTCTACTGATGGGGCTTATTCTTTGCTTGAAGAGCAGTCGCTAGGAAAGTTCTCACATTCTCTCAATGAGGTTGCTGCACACTTAGCTCCTGATCCTATAATCAGCTTTGTGTGGGAGCACTCCTGAGTTGTTTGTTTTCATTAAACAGGAGAAGGTACTTCTGTTTAATCTGCATCCCACATGCTGACAAAGAATTGTGCTATATTTTGATTCTTTCCAGAATAACAGGCAGTCTTATATTAGGAAAATATATGGCAATAAATCTTAGAGAGAACGTTCGCCAACTCCTGTGACATCCTCAGAAACTGACCAGACTGAGACTTGAATGTTACAGTGTCCTCCACCACACTTGAGGGCAGAAGGTTAGCTTAGGGCATGCAGAGATAGGCCCCATGGGGCACACAATTTTGTCCTCCAACATCTCTTTTTTTAAAAAAAATGATATTTATTGGAAAAAAATTTTTTTTTAAAGTTACAAAAAAAAACAAAGTAGAAAAAGAGAAAAACAAACCACTTCCAACAATACAAATTCAAATTCAAAATAAGAAAGAACAGAAAAAAACAAAAATACACCACAAACATTTAAAAACAAATCCATTATTCTCAAATCCTCAACTGTCATTACCTTCTTTCTTTGACCTCCTCCTCCTCCCTTTTTTTGTATCCTAGTTGTTAATTATCACAGCAAATCCTTTCCATATTTCATAATATTCTGTCATTACATTACCTTAAACTATTTTAATCTTATCTTTCTATAAAAAAACCTTGAAACTTAAAACTTAAATCTTATCCTTACCAACTTCTCAGAACCATAATATTCTTTCATAATTCTTTAAACATTTTTACTAAAGCCGAGTAGTTTCATTCCAACATTTTTCTAACATTCATCAATTTTATAAAACAGTTCTAATAGTATATAAAATAGAAATTATATCAATTACAATCTTCATCCAGCGTCCCTTCCTCCTGGTCCCGGGTTTTGTCAGTCCTTATTATCCCATCGATCTAGCGCATTAACCTGGCAACCTTATATCCGAGGCCCTTAAGTCTCTTCCATGTCCCTTCCACAGCTCTTCTTCATATTTGTAACTGTATTTTCCCTTGTCTCCTGCTTGTGGGAACTCCAGCTTAGCAATATTTTTGACCCTTCTCGACAGATCAGCCCCTTTTCCATATTCAACACTAAATTCCATGTGATATTTAAAAACATGCTTCAAAACCCTCCAAAATTAAGAGCCCCCACAATCCCAAACATCTCACGGCCCATTGCCAGATTTGAAAAGTCCAAACATCCCTGCATAGGGGGGGTCAATCCAGCCCCCATTTCCAAGCCAAACCAAACTTTTCCTTTCCAAATCTGGCTTTTTCCAAGTTCATTTGTCAAATCCGAAAACTCATATTCCTGTTGGGCCTGTTCTGTCAGGACACACTCCTGATTTAATTCCTGGGTGGGCTCCACATATTTTCCCACTGTCTGTTCAAAGTTTCCCACTGCCTGTTCAAAATTTCTAATCGAATTCGCCATCAAATTCGTCTTCTCATGTAACTGTTCCAGTAGGGCATTTGTTTTATAGAAAGCACACAACAGAGCTTCTGAATACATTGTCCTGCAAGGTCAAATGTCTATTCCCACGATTGTAATCTGTAACAGCTGCCGGCTCCTGGAGTTAGTTACAGTTTCACAGTCTCCTCTAGGAGGAAAACTTCTATTTGTTCTTGCAACAAAGTTTTCCTTTTTGAGATATTTTGTCAATATTTGTTCCTTTAAACTGCGAAAGGAAACAGTGGAATCACTATGTTTCTCTTCTTTTAGCTATCTGTCAAAAACGTTTGTCTCTGGTCAATGAGCTTCAAACGTCAGTCCTGACACCCCGCTCCAGGATCAGGACGGTGGAAAGTTACTTTACTTTAAACTCACTTCTGCAGGTTTAAACAGTCCGAAAAGATCCCCTTCTTCTCCTGCTGTCGAAGGGGGATTCCACAATTTTAAATGATGAAATCCAATCCTTTAGAGGCGATTTTCTGAGCTCTAGTTTACGTTGTCTTTGCTTTATTCTGTCTACAAAAGAACAGAAGGCTGACTTCCTGTTTAGACCTTCCCGTTTCAGTACCAAATTGAAATAAATTTTTAAGTCCAATTCCTTTCTGCTCGCAAGTCCTTATTTAAAGTCCAGTTGTTCAAAGTTTAAGTACTCACGGGTGCTTATTTTAGAATTCAAATTGTCCCAGGAAAAAGGCAGCGCTCTCCAGCAACGGCTATGCGGCTTCACTCCACAGAAATAGCAGTTGACTCACAGCACCGCGCCACTTCCCCCTCTTCACTTCGGAGCCCATTAGTGGGTTCCTTTGCGGGTTGGGGGCGCGCTAAAGGTGCCCGCCGAGTCCCATGGTCACAGGCTTCATCCGCCTGTGATTTTTAAAAGGGTCCCCGCTTCGCCGTAGCGGAGAAGACCCGTTTCATGCAGAGCTAGTCCCTCCAGTTCAGAGGGAGTCCGCCATTGCCGATGGCGCCACCCCGGAAGTCTTGTCCTCCAACATCTCACTGCTATTCTGCAACCCTAGTATATGCCGCCTGAAGCAGCTGCCTCATTATTCCTAATGGTAGGGCAGACCCTGTCCATACTGTAGATTGGCCACCCATGTTTTAGATCAATTTTTAGGCTAAACAGAAGTAGAAAACTAGAATTCATGTGCTCAGTTTTTCTAGAGTGTGTGGTGCCAATTCAAAGTTGAAACTTACTTTTGCATAATAAAATTGTCATTTCAAGCAATCCAAATACCCAGAGGCAACACAGTTTTTATAGCACAAAAGCACGATAGGTCTCTCTCTCTCTCTCTCCTCCCCTTCATTTCTCACATGCCACTTTCAACAGCCAGACTTTATTTCTGTGGATCTTTTAAAAAACATATTATATATAAAACCCACAAGACCCCTTCAGATCCTGAGCCCTCAGTGACTGCATTTTGCCCATTATTTCTTGAGGTACATTAGCATCTGAGTGAAAATTTGGTAAAATGAGTTGCAGATTTATTTGCCTGAAGGAATAGTAGTGCTTTCAAATGTCAAAGGGATGTCTTTGTTCTTGACACACATTAAACGCCCATCTGATATTGGGTGTCATCAAAATATTACTCACATCTGAAACTATTTTGGAACTGGGCTAGGGATGGTGATGTTTGATAAATGGAGCTGAATGATGAAAATATTTCAGCCTTTTTGGAACGTAGCAAAAATATGACAGCAGATAAGTCTTCAAAGAGATTTATTATTGCTCTTAGCTGCTGGGTGTCCAGAGCTTGCTGTTTGGGGAGGAATCCAAGAAACTTTTGTGATTGCTGGAACTATGACTGACTAATGGCTCAGGCCACAACAGTTAAACCAGAGTATTTAGATTTTGTCTCATTTTCCACTGCTTTCAAAGGGAACGAATTATCTAAAAATGTAGCTGGGGTGTACAATTCCACTCTTTCTGAACTGCACTGCACAGTGTGCTATCACATGTGAAGCAAGCAGCTGGATCATTTGGTCCTCGTGATGGAGGAGAAATTTGATTCAGTTCAGAACATTTAAAGGTGAGCCCCTCTAATTTGCACTTTCCAGAACAATATGCAAACTGAAACATGGCCAGCCTTCCAAATAGATTTGCCGTGCAATTCTCCAGCCATGTAATGTGTACAAATGTAAAATGTGCATTAAAATAACAAAAAAAATGCATATTAAAGGAAATTTCTCTTAAGAGAAATTGACAATAATCTGGCAATGAATTTTCATGAGGATCTTTAAAACTGCAAACTGATGTGGAAAAATGAGGAACAGTGGGAAACCGAAAGTGATTGCCACCCAGCCCTGTTTGGTGTAAATAATTGATTTCAGTTCACCTTCTTGTAGGGACAATGATGGAACTATGTGAAATGTACAAGGCTGGTTCCATGTAGGAGTGGCCCTATGATGAGGCAAGGTGAAGCAACTGCCTCAGGCTGAGCACTGTTTAGGGCAACTGGGTGCTCTCACAATTTGATCTCCTATGTCTTTATTATTTAATTAAGTTACCTTGTTTTTTCTTGGCACTGCAGTCTGTTCTGATGTAACTGAGTCAGGCCCTTGTGACTGCTTTTTAGATGGTTTTAAGGATCAGGAGACCCAACTGTGACTTGCTCGTGTCTTGTCTAATTTGGTTCTCAGACAGAGCTGAGATTTACCTGCATTCATTGAAAGGAACAGGTGGCTTATAGTCATTTCAATGATTGGGCCCTATTTAAATTAGTGGGAGGTGAGGCTGATGCCTCGGGCTGCCAAATGTCTTGAGTGAGCCAGCTGTTGTATTTGAGGCTGTGGGCACCTCCACCCCCACTTTGAAGAAACTGCTTGCTGAGTGCAAGAAAAAGATATTATTGCAAATGCTTTTGCCCAGGGCCAGCAACACTGACAAACTTGTTGCCACCAGCAGAGGATCTTAATTGGCAAAGCTGGCCATTTGAGCTAATCTGCAGAATTGTGAGTTGCCTCTTACACTTGGCATGCTAAACAATAAAGTGGCACACTTTATTTGTTCAATCTTTCTGTGGACAGAAGCTGGTAGCAAAGAAATCTGGTAATCATTTGCCACAGGCCACTGCTTAGATCATGTTCCAAAAAGGATTTGCACCCATATAAATAAGAACTCTAGGAATCTACGGAAGGCTAGCAAGATGATGTGATAATGTGCCATTTCCTTAACAATCAAGGGCATCTTCCCCCCAATGGAGGAAGTATAGCAGCTGAACAAGTATCGTATTTTTCGCACCATAGGACACACCGGACAATAGGACGCACTTTGTTTTAGAGGGGGGAGAACAAGAAAAAAAATTTCCCCCCTCTCTGCCCAGCGCCCCTTCAGTGAAGCAGCAGGAGGCGCTGCACAGAGAGGGGGAGAACTTTCCCCCTCTTGTTTTCCCGCTCTAAAACAAGGTGCCGTTTAAGGTGCGTTCAGGCGGCTACCTGAAGCCTGGAGAGCGAGAGGGGTCAGTGCACACCGACCCCTCTCGCTCTCCAGGCTCCTTTCGACCTGCTCTTTGGGGCTGGCGGGGGGAAGCCCACCACCAGCCCCAAAGAGCAGGTCAGGGAGCAGCGGAAAGGCGCAGCGGAGAGGCTCCTGCCATAGCCGCGCGTCACCTCTCCAGCCGGGAGAGGGTCGCGGGGCTATGGCTTCTTTAGCCCCGCGCGCGCTCTCCCGGCTGCAGAGGTGACGCGGGGCTGTAGAGGCTCCTGCCATAGCCATGCGTCACCTCTCCAGCCACGAGAGGGTCGCGGGGGGCTGCTGTAGCCCCGCGCGCGCTCTCCCAGCTGGAGAGGTGACGCGGGGCTGTAGAGGCTCCTGCCATAGCCGCGCATCACCTCTCCAGCCGGGGAGCGCGCGCGGGCTAAGAAGCCATAGCCACGTGACCCTCTCCCAGCTGGAGAGGTGACGCGTGGCTATGGCAGGAGCCTCTACAGCCCGCGTCACCTCTCCAGCCGGGAGAGGGTCGCGGGGGCTGCTTTAGCCCCGTGCGCGCTCTCCG